CACACACACACAGGTTTGTTTTTGTGAAAAGTGGGGACATCCCATAGGTGTAATGGTTTTTATACTGTACAGACCGTATATTCTATTGCCCTACACCAACCCTACCCCTAAACCTACCCCTCACAGGAGACTTTCTGCTATTTCAGATTTTCAATACACTCCATTCTGTGTGATTTATAAGCGTTTTGAAAAGTGGGGACATGGGGTAATGTCCTGAAAAGTCACCTTCTCCTTGTAATACCTATGTTATACCTTTGTCATTATACACATTTATGTCCTCATTTGTCACAAAAACGCGCGCGCACACACACACACACACACACAGAACGCAAACGTTATGACCAGCATTAACCGCAGCTGAAGATCGACTCTATTTCTGCTCATCTCTCCTGTAAACGCATGTTTAGTTTCAGGATTTAATTTCACACAAAGGAGCTGAAGTAGATAAGATGACTTCATGGAAAGGCCTCTCAGAGTTCACTGGCGTATGAAATCTCCTTTTTACATCAAGGGAAAACTCAATGCTTCTTGCTCTTTTGAAATAAGATCTTGATTTCTAACATTCATAACCCAAAATGTCCAAACACCAGCTTCATTTACTAAAATGAAATCTTCAGGAAATCTTCATGATTATGACGTCACAAGCATGAGCTCATTAACATATGACTGCCCACATTTACATATCAACACCTACAGCCAATCCCGTTCCAAGAGAACTTGCAACCATATGAAAGCTTAATTTGCCATGAAATACGAAAGAAGATTTTATTAAGATTACATTTTTTATTTTTTATTCAGTGGCTCTAACAAATTCTTTAAAAAAAAAACAGAATTTAGACTTCAAAGAAAAAAAAAGTAGTGCAAGATGTAAGCTCAGAATTCCGAAGGAAAAAGCCAGAATTGCGATATATAAACTCAGAAATCTGAAGAAAAAAAAGAATTGTGCAAAATAAACTCTAAAATTCTAAAAATAAAAAAGAGGAAAAATTGCAGAATTGCAAGATGTAAACTCAGGATTCCAAGAAAAAAAAGTGAGAATTGCGAAATACAAACTAAGGATTCTGGGAAAGAAAAAAAAAAGATCGTTGCGAGATATAAACTCTGAATTCTGTGGAAAAAGTCAGAATCGCAAGATGTACAGGTTTTTTTTATTCACAATTTGAGTTGAATTACTGAAATAAATGAACTTTTCCACGACATTCTAATTTATTGAGATGCACCTGTATATGCAGAATTCTAAAAAAAAAAAAAAAATAAAAAGTCAGAATTGTGAAATGTTTATAACTTCCAATTGTGAGATATAAACTCTTTGTGAGAAAAAAATCAGAATTGTGAGATACTCAGTGTGTCAATTTTTATTATTAACATTTATAACAATTCTTCTTATTATAATTAAAAAGGATCATGTCATCATAAAAGCACAGCAGAAGAACAGCCTGTTTATTTGTAAAGGAGGGGGAACAACGGTCGTCAAAAACTAAATTATGACTGTTTTTGGTGCAAAAAAAAACCCTTGATGGAGATAATAAGTGGAATTCAACATATAAAATGCAACACAAGTGCAGAATATGAGCTTTAATATGAGAGCACAGACACACTGTCACACACAGACTCACCTGTCGTTGAGAAACACTCCGTTTTTATGGATCTGGTTCTCCAGGGTGAAATTAAAGGTGAAATCTTCGATTCGCTCGTTGTTGTGGATCTTCACGCGGGACGCGTACTCATCCGCCTGCAGGTGCTTTATGACGTCAGGGAACCAGACAGACAGACCGTAGTACCTGCGCACAGGAAGTGGCATAATCAGAGCGCTGACGGGTGACGTCTGAGTGACTAACAGGGACTGAAGCTCGCTGAGGTGTGTGTGTGTGTGTGTGTGTAACACAGGTGGTGACACCAGCGCTTAGTTAATTAATTTCTGCTCCTCAGCAGTGGGCTTCAGTCTGACAGAGAGCAGCGATAGAAGCATCTGTTCACTCTTTAATTAGAGATTAGTGTGTGAGTCCTCTTTTATGTGTGTGACTTTCTCTTTTATTTTGTATTGAAGTGTGTGAGCTTGAGTTGGTCTGTGACAGAGTGAAGACACGTGTTTATTAAGACTAAAAACAAAAGGAAATGAGTCAAGAAAAGAGTGATAGAATAGGATAGAAATAAAGCAATAAGCCATGAGAGGCCATGTTTTAGAGTGATTTTACCAAAATTTAGTGGTGTTGTTAACCTGAAACCATCTTAACCGCGGTACGACAGACTAGAATAGTAAACTAGATTATGCTCTGTTAATAACCTAGGTTAGTGGAAGTGTAGTTATTGCAAACTAAAACTATTAAAAATTGTTTTTATTAACTGAAACTAAATAAAACAGATGAAAAAAAAAATAGAATTGTTGCCTTCACAACTAACTGAAATAAAATAAGTTTAAGAAAATAAGTTTTGTCATTTATAAAATGACAAAACCATATAACAAAATGACTACTTAAAATAAAATAAATGCTAAATGAAAAATAAAAATAAAATAAAGCATTAAACTTATTTATTTCAGCTAGTTGCCAAGGAAACAGTCTAATTTTCTTTTAGTTTAACTTGATGTACTAAAATAACTAAAAATGAATAAAAATATATAGACATTTAAAAAAACAAAAACAATTAAAAATGATGAAAATACAATATTTTTTATAATTACTACTAACTATAATAACTAATAATTCATTATATTAGTAGTAATACTATAATACTACTAAATAATACTATATAAATATACAAATAATATTGAAATAACACTGGTTGGTATGAGCAGCACACTAAGTATATTTAGTATACACTAAGAATTAGTAATAATGAATGACACTTGACCTCGCAAACATTTCTAATAAACAATTCTTGTGCCACTTATATAGTTCTTTAATCTAACTTGGACTATTAATATATAGATTTCAATTGAACTTAAATGTATACTGGCTATTTTACAGATTAGAACATGACATGGCTTTAGAATAGAATAGAGTATGTCCCAGAAAAGCCAGGTCAGAGGAGTCTTAGTGTGATTTTGTGAGTAAACCGGGCTGTTCCATACACATGAGTGTTGATATAAGCCCTCCTACAGAGCTCTGTCTCTGAGCCCGTCCATCCAGGCTTAAGCTCTAATAAATACAGTAATTAAACAGTGCCTGGTCCCCCTCATGCAGCTCCACCCCTGGGCCTAACCACTGCAAGACAGCTACTTAAAACACAGTGATTATAGGGACAATACTTCATTTCAGTGCCAGAGAGCAGCAGAGAGAGACTGAGAGGAAGAAAAACTGTGTCTCCTGATCGGAACAAGGCTCAATAGAATAGAATAGAATAGAATGCAATTGAATACAATACAATATAATCTGATGATATTGTACTCTAAATGGCACAAACAGTGTGTGATCACTATAATCACTATAATTGGGTGATAATGTGTGTAACTACAGGGGTAGTGATTCAGGGGTTGGTCTGGCCAATCAGACGGAGGATATTAGAGACAAACAGTCTCACCCGAACGACAGCGAGAACCAAACCACGGCCAGCTTCACAGTGTTGTCCTTGACGGGGTAATCCCAGCACTTCAGGAACGTGAGCCAGATCTGCGCACACACACACACACACACACACACACACACACACACACAGACAGAGTCAAACTAATGCATTAAGTGCACATAAAACACCTGTGTATAGTGGGATCTGATTTCCTTTCATCACAGCATTAGGAAATGCAAAGGCAAAGACGAATCAGCAGAACATTTGATGCGTTTGAGTCCTAGCTGGACTTTAGCGGGACTTACTCTCTTTAAACGAGAGGCATTTATGCAAACGGTTCCACATTTCAAGCTGCAAATCTTTTTCTGCACTCAATGTCAGCATTGAGATTTTGCTCAAAATTTTTTTCTTGTGGTCAAACAGTATAGGAGTTAATAAAATAAAATAATAAATAAATAGTTCAAGTAAAAAAAAAAACACTTGAAAAATATTAAAATATGTAATTTGAAAATTTAGATTTTAAATAAATATATCTGCCTCTTTCTTACAACTTGTGTTGTTTTACCATAAAAATTGTTTATATATATATAACTTGAAAACATGAAATGTTACTGTTCAAAAGTTTGAGTTCACTAAGAATTTTTAAAAATACATTTTACTTTTATTCAGCAACGACACATTCAATTCCTTATGAAAATTACCCATGGTTAGTTTTAGTAAGGGTTGATCAAAAGATGATGTTACATCGTTACAAAAATTTCTATTTAAAAAATTCATTTTTTCTTTTGAACTTTGTATAATAATAAAAGAAGAAGAAGAAGAAGAAATATGACATTTCTGAGCAGCAAATCGGCATATTAGAATGAAGACAAGTAGTGGCTGCTGAAAATTCAGCTTTGCATCCCAGGAATAAATAATATTTTACAATATATTCAAATAGAAATCAGTTATTTTAAATTATACTAATATTACACAATATTACTGATTTTACTGTATTTTTGATCAAATAAATGCAGCTTTGGTGAGCAGAAGAGACTCCTTTCAGAAACATTAAAAAATCTTACCGACCCCAAACTTTGGAACAGTAGTATAAATTGTCTAGGATCTGAGGATCTGATGTGGATGTGTGGGAGATCTGCACGTTTGTTCACTCACGCCGCGCAGTTCGCTCTTGATCCTGAATAAGATTTTGGCCACAGGGTTTGCCGACTCCGACTGCATCTCCACCAGCTCATCCAGCTGCTTGGGGATCTTAATACGGTTCACCTGCAGGGGGAGACAGAGAGACGTCACGTTACCTGTGCTAGTGGGGTCAAGAGGTCAAGCTGGTTGTGTGTGTGTGTGTGTGTGTGTGTGAGTGTGTGTGTGACTCACAGTAAAGACTTTCTCGGGCTCTCCGCGCGCTCGCATGTTGGTGTCATGAATCTGTTTGAGAACCATCCACGCTTCGTCATGCTTTCCCACCTGTAGATGAGAGAGTACACACATAAAGTCAAGTTTACATACAGCACTTTTCACAATACACATCGTTTCAAAGCAGCTTTCCAGTAAATCATGATGTTAGTGTTTATAAAATAAACAATTTGCTATCACACGAATAAGTTACATTTTAAAACATTTAAATAGACACCAGTTATTTTAAATTGTAATAATATTTCACAATATTACACAACAGAAATTACTTTTTAAAACCCACAACAAAATTACCAAAACGTAAACTAAAATTAATATAAAAATCAATATAAAATTGATTAAAAATATAAAAATAATATTCAAATAAATATAAGGAACTGATACGCTGAACCCATGCTGAAGCTCCAGCCTACACACACACACACACACACACACACACACACACACACACACACACACACACATCTTTTCAATGTAGATCTCTTATTGGCCCAAGTGAAAAACATGCTTACACACATTATTCAACTTTTTTGCTAAGAGTAATGTGAGATTATTTATGTACAACTTAAAAGCACAAAACACCTATAACAAAAAGTAACGTGGCATTACCAGGGTACAATGATGGTCTCATATAATATTATGTTACTTTGATATACAGCTTGAATGATTGCCATAATTATGCACTATTTACATGATACTCTGAGATACTTCAAAGAATAAAATGGTGATACCATTTATAAAAAAAAGTATTACCATGGTACCTTGTCAAAAAAAACAAAAAAACATGGTAGTACCATGGTAACAAACACAAAATGATGGTTTTTCATGGCACCATGTCCAAAATGCTGTACTTTTTATTGTATCATTGATATACTCAATGTATATTTATTGTATCATATATATATTTAAATTTTTTGTGTTTTTATTTGAAAGTCTTTTTAATTTTGTATTATTTTTATCTTTTTTTTTTTTAAATGTCTCTCTCTATCTCTCTCTCTCTTTCTCTATATATGTATATATATATATATATATATATATATATATATATATTTAATAAGTTTTAGTTTATTTTGTCTTAGTTCTTTTAGTACTTGAACCTTAAATAAAAATGAGAAATGCTTCCTTGGCGACTAGCTGAAATAAAATAAGTTTAAGATTTTTTATTTCATTTTATTTCAGTTACAGTTATGTTTATTTAATTTAATTTCAAGCAATGAAATGTTTTTTATGGTTTTAATATTATTGTTAGTTTGCCCTGCACACTATGGTGTTTTTCAGTTTTGTTAGTGACAATGCGGTTCCACAAAAGCCTTTGAGAAGCCTCTGCGACTGAATTTCACAGTGAATAAGTTTGTTTGGGAGTGTGTGTGTGTGTGTGTGAAGAGGAGTCGATTAAGAATGCCTGCAGGAGTAATACTGCTGAAAACACACTCTCACTGAAAAATAATCATTAAAGTTGGTATCATTTTCCACATGGCTGCTGCTCTCTGACGCTGCGCAGCATGTCTAGTGGCGGAGTGGCACCATATGGTGTGTGTGTGTGAGTGTGAGTGTGTGTGTGTGTGTGTGTGTGTGTGTTTGATTCAGAAACAGAGAAGCAGTGAGCGATGGAGCGAGCGCGATGCTTACAGGACAGCTGCAGGGGAACGGAGAGTACAAATGAAGGTGCCTTAGAGGACAGAAAGGCCTTAGACCAGAAAAAATGCTTTAAAGGAAGATTCTGTCATCATTTACTCACTCTCATCTCACTTCAAACACAAATGGAGTTTAGCAGAATGTTCACGCTGCTCTTTTCAGTACGATGACAGAAGAAGAGGCTGATGAGCTCCAGAAACACCATAACAGAAGTTCATCCTGTGTGATTTGTGCACCGTATTAAGAGTCTTCTGAATGTGTCGAAAAGTTTACATTTTTAAATTTCGTTCAAATTTTGAATATGCTGAAGAGCAAATGAGGTACATAATGAATTTTCACTTTTGGATGAACTTCCTTTAAATTCCCTTAATGAATGTTTTTCCTTTCAATATTCAATATACTGTACACAGTACCAACTTCATGAGTTGTGCTGTATGGAGGACCAAACCTGCAAAAGAAAAGAAAAGAAAGGAAAAGAAAAGAAAAGAACACAGCAAAGAAAATATTTTTCAAGTTTCTTATAAAAATAAATACATAAATGAATAAATAATGTTATATATTACACCTGGAGGTAATGTTACATATTCTAACAATAATATTTAAATAATAAAATGATTATATATTGTAATAATTATATATACAAATACATATAAAAACATGGAAATAAATATGCAAGAATGTAATGTAAGAATAAAGAAATAAATATTCAACAAATGTTCAAATATTCAACATATATACAAATGTATATATATATATATATATATATATGTACTAAGTATGATAATAAATATAATCAATAAATAGAAAAAAATACAACAATATATTATGTAAGAATAAAAAATAAATATAAGCAGATTTTTTTCATTTTAATAATATATGTATTAATATACTGTATATAGGCTATACTTAAGGCTGTAATTAAAGCAAAAGGTGGTTCAACAAACCACTGACACAAGGGGTGATTCTTTTTTCCAACTCAGTGATTCTGCTTTTTTATTTATTTATTTATTTTTTGACGTGTTGGTGTTTTATCTTTCACTTGGATGTTATAAGTTGCACTGAGTAAATACAGCTGCATAAAACTGTGTCTGTCTTCATTTCGGGCTACAGTTTAGCTGATGATGCAAGAACGTCTCAGGTTACTTATGTAACCATGGTTCCCTGAGTAGGGAACGAGACACTGCATCCTCTAGGGGTCGCTATGGGGAACGCCTCATCGTGACCCGTGTCTGAAGCATACATTGAAAAAACACCAACTCGTTGGCCGGCGACAGCCATGACGTCACTACCGGGAGCTACACATCATTCACTTCTTCGTCTGAAGCTTGCGTCCGCAGCATGGTAAGAAACCTAGAGGACGCAGTGTCTCAGTATGGAGATCAGGAAGGAAAGGAAGGCTCACCTGAGCTGGAGGGTTATAGCCAGAAAGATAACGTTCCTCGAGACAACCTCGCGACGCCACTTCCTTAGTCCGCTTCCACAGCAAGTCAAGCCTTGCCGTGGCGCGATCCATAACCTTTAAGAGCTCATCATATGCAGGGCAGGAGGATTGAGAAGGCTCAACCACAGCTTCTTCGCTCTCTTCATCCATTTCCTGCTCTTCCTGGGCTGGACCCAGCAGCCCTCGAGGACATCGCGTGTGTGCTCTTCGCCCAAACAAACAACACATAGATCGTGTGTGTCATCTGGTGTCAAATAGCGATGACATGGATGCACACACCTTCTAAATGCTCTGCTAGTGCTCGCCATAATAAATAGAGATAGCTCTTACTTTTTCCTTGGAAATGCACGCTTCAAACAGAACAGTCAATGAAGACGAAGAAGAGAATGATGTGTAGCTCCCAACGAGTTGGTGTTTTTTCAATGTATGCTTCAGACACGGGTCACGACGAGACGTTCCCCATAGCGTTCCCTAGAGGACGCAGTTCGAAGTTCCCATGAAAGGGAACTCACTATATGGGCGGTAATATCACACACACACACACACACACACAGAGCCCTGTAGTCTTTGAGCACTAATGTCTTCTCGATTCTAGTGCAATCACTCACTCGTGGCTGTAAGAGGCCGTCAGGGACACAGAAACATCACCACAGAGATGAGACTTAATATTACACGCTTAAAGCTGCTCGCTCACTCTCTCTCCACCTGCATACTACCCATCCTAAACAATATACAAGATCACAAATACTGTGTCCCAATGAGAGCACACTGGAAACATTGAGTCAAAGTGGCCCAGACGCTTTCAAGCACACCTACATCTCAAAGGCTCAGGAAAAATAATGGCATACTCAGCTAAGTCTCCTTTAAATGTATCATGTTCATCTCAGGCGTCTCTCCTAATATTCTTTACACTCATTTCAGGACTGCGGCGCACTGGGTGTGTGTGTGTGTGTGTGTGTGTGAAGAATAACCCCATGGGTTTGTGCTTATCAGTCACCATAGAGAATCTAATTATATAGATTATGTGTGTAATGGAGTGTGTTCATAGACCAGTGAGTCTACAGACACACACCAGCACAAGACGAACATCACACACACACACACACACACACACACAGATAGTGAATAACACACTATCACAGCTAGCTCCTTCCATCACAAACTAGTATACATCAGCTAAACTAGTACTTAACAAATGAACATTATTGACTTGGGATACAAATTTAATCTGAAAAGTTAACCCAAAAGTTGGGTTAGTCCATATTTGACCAAAGTTGGGTTGAAACAACCCAGCATTTTTTTAGAGCGTGTGGTTACACAAGTTAAGCTGGTTCAAGAACAATTATGATCTTAATTAACCAACTAACAAAATGCTAGCATCTTACAGTATAAAACTAAATTTAAGCTGGTCTAAACTGGTCTAAGCAGATGAAACTATAAAATTATCAAATATATTTTAACATAATCTGATAAGACACATGAGTTTGAACATTAATGTGGAGGTCATGCTGCAGTAAATCTTCCAATTAAAGCTAAATCCACACACTAGCTTAGTTAGCATCTCAGCTCACGTATGCAAAAGCCACTTTTGATCAAATCAAGACATCCTGACAGCATTAATTTCTACTTGAGAACAAAAGTTGGAAGTTGTGTCTGAAATTTTAACCAACTTTGCGCAGAACACACACACACACACAAACACACACACACACACACACACACACACACACACACACACACACACACTCACACTCACACACTTAAACGGTTTCACCGGCGCTAAAGTCCTTCACCTGCCTCTCGCCGTGCTCCTGCAGTGATGGAGTCATTGCGGCAGAACCGTTTGGCCACACACCACTGCCTCCTGACCACAAAAATGCAGCTAAAACAAGAGATGCTAATCAATTGACCTCAATTACAGCACAGTATCTCGCAGAAGAGCAGCAGCGCCGTTATTTCTGCTCCTGTTTACACTCTCTCACGGGAAATCACGCATCATATTCTGCTCATAATGAGATGATGAAGGACACAGAGGCTTCCCGTTAAACAGAAGAGCACAAAACGCCTCCCGCAGGATCAGTTATGTGAAATCAGCACAAACATTTGTCTCATTCTGCACAAACTGCGTCTTGTTCGGTGTCTACGTGTAATATTATCTGCTAGCAGGATGGCAGAACCTCATGCATTATTTAAATACATATTGCTGGACATTATTTACAGGAAGAAACCATCTAGCAAGTGCTGACCCCAAACTTTTTATTTTTTATATTATTTATAATTTATTATAATTGATTATATTTATTATAATTTATAATTATTTATAGTATTTATATTCTAAATATATTTAATTAGATATTATAATGTAATATATATGTGCAGATATAAATAATGTAAGTATATTATAAAATGTAATCAAATTATAACAAATTTACATTATTTATATATAATATATTCTTAATATTTTCTTAATTTAAAAAGTTACATCATAAGTAATAAGTAACACCAAAATTCGTAATCATTAATATATATATTTAGAGATATAAATAATATAAATGTAATTTCATTACGTTTTATATATATATATATACACTAATATTTACATAGTAATATTAAAATATATTTAGTGAATTTAGTAAATAATTTATTTATCAATATTTCATTGATCTAAAATAATTTGAAATAATTAATATTAATAAATGATCCACTATTGTTGTAATCATTATTGGCTTAATTGCTTATATTTATACATTTAATCAAATAATCACCAAATAAAAACAGGTATCAAAAATGAACAAATTGCTTTGTTTAACATTGTCTGCTAGTTGGACAGCAGAGTCTTGTGTATTATTTAAATGTGTATTATTTAAAATTATTTACAGGATAAAACCACCTAGCAACCACCCAGAACACCCTAGCAACTAAAAAAAAGAAGAAAAAAACACTTTGCACCTTTGATTGCAAAACCACAGAGAAGCTCCAAAAATCTATTTTAATGTGCATTCTACATGCACAAGCATATAATTATTTAGTCACTCATAAATGCAAATGAAGCTAGCCGCTGTGGTTTATGAATCTGAAATGATGAGTCTCACTGATCACGGTTTCTGCACAGTCATTGGGTGATATGACTAGATATACACTCTCAGAAAAAAAGGTACAAAAGCTGTCACTGGGGCAGTACCTTTTCAAAAGGCACACTTTTGTACCTTTTAGGTACTAAGATGTACACTTTGGATACTGATATGAACCTTTAAGGTACCAACATGGACTCTTTAGGTACAAAGTTGTGCCTTTTGAAAAGGTACCACCCCAGTAATAACTTTTGTACCTTTTTTTCTGAGAGTGTACAGTAGAAGCGGAGCTTTATGATTGGTCGATTGGTGCCGTCACTCACCGTAGTGTGGAATGATGGCCCAGGCCATGGCTGAGGCGTAGATCCCGCCCAACATCCAGAACATGCAGAGCCAGCTCAGGTGTTCCCCGCGCTTCTCACGGGCCAGGAACTCAGCAAAATATGAGAACACGATGGGAACCGCACCGCCAATCCTGCAAAGGAGTGTGGGAAATCAAGATTTGTGTCCTAGAATATTATGACATCTTGCATTTATTTTCATCCTATATATTTTAAAATATAACATTAGCAAATATGATTTGTTTGAAAAAATTTTTTTTGAAAGACATTTCTTCTGCTCACCAAGGCTGCATTTATTTGATTAAAAAACAGTATATTTTCTATGTGAATATCTGTTAAAATGTCATTTGTTCCTGTGATTAAAAGGAGTGTGGGAAATCAAGATTTGTGTCCTAGAATATTATGACATCTTGCATTTATTTTCATCCTATATATTTTAAAATATAACATTAGCAAATATTATTTGTTTGAAAAAATGTTTTTTTGAAAGACATTTCTTCTGCTCACCAAGGCTGCATTTATTTGATTAAAAAACAGTATATTTTCTATGTGAATATCTGTTAAAATGTCATTTGTTCCTGTGATTGTAGCTGGATTTTCAGCATCATTACTCCAGTCTTCAGTGTCACATGATCTTCAGAAATCAGTATAATATGATGCTCAAGAAACATTTCTGATTATTATCAATGTTGAAAACAGTTGTGCTGCTTCATTATTTTTGGGGAAACGGTGATACTTTTTATTTTTCAGGATTCACAGATGAACAGAAAGTTCAAAAGAACAGCATTTATTTGAAATACAAATCTTTTGTAACATTATAAATGTATTTACTGGCACTTTAGATCCATTTAATTTGTCCTTGATGAATAAAAGTATTAATGTCTTTTCCTTTTTTTAAAAAGGCCCAAATGATTTGAACAGAAGTGTAGGTCTTAATTAAATCCGGTATCATTAATGTCAATCAATAGCATCATAAAACCTACTTAGAATTTACCATTTTACTTTTAACATTCATCTCTGCAGCATATTTCTATGGTTATTAGAGTGGAAACAGGTTTTGCATCTCACATTATACATACACATATCATACATACTTATTATTAAAGTTTATATTTATAAATATACATCTATCATTTATTTGAAATATAATTTTTGTAACATTATGAACACTTTTGTAACAGTCACATTTGATCAATTTAATTAAATTTTAAAGTATTTCAGATAAATTCAGCACAGTTTCTTCCTTAGTAGTTCATCAAGCTATTTTTGAACACCGTCTGTTGCAGTCGGCGTGGCCTTTGACCCCGGCTGTGAGAGTCTGCTCGAGACGCTGATTCAGTCTGGAGTCACTGCACTGCTGCAAGGGCAGGAGACGACGCTGAAATTCAATTAGCAATAAAACCCTCCACTGTTCCCGACTCGCTCTCGCTCTCTCTCCTCTTAAGTTATGGGTCTGTGCCAGGAGGTTAAAACAACTGTGACATTGCAGAAGAGCTGACTGAGAGTGGGTGTGTGTCACTCAGAGCTGGTGTCTCTGTCTCTGTGTGGGTGTGTGTGTTCAATTCTGTGTTTTAGCATAGTTTTTAAGTCGGATGTGGGATATCCCTACCGTCCTGAAGTGGTCCAATACTCAGAAAATGATTCAAAGGAACAAAATGTCAGTGCTAGCATTTCTTTTGCACATGTACCATTATCTGAAAACATATCTGTCTACATAAAAATCTGCAGCAGATTTATTTATCATGCAATGTTGGAACTTAATGATGCATTTATTTGCTTAACAGTGAATGTTTATTATTACATGAGATCATATTATCACATCGAAATCAAAGGCTGATTTCAAGTCTTGTACAAATAATCGAGCCGAACACATGTGAACGCCTCCATAAAATTATAAATACCATCAGTTTAATGTTAAAAGTGACTATAAGTAAGTTATTTGTGTTTTGACTCCCTGAATTGTGAAACACTGACGCTTTCAAAACATTTGACTTCCTATTTATGAATTCAAAAAGTGGGAATGCTGGGAAATGGGTAGTTTATTGCTATTCTTTTACAGGACAGAAAATGCATACATTTAAATGTATAACGTTGTATGCATAATAATTCAATTCTTTAAAAATTCCATGCATAAATAAATGCATGCATAAATTTAAACTTCGTATGACCAATGCAAATTGACTGCACCAGGATTCTTTAATTAACTGAGATAGTGAGTGTTCCTGAATGAAATCCTGAGCTTCTCATGGATAATTATTCAAGCATTTGGTAGGTTCATGATCATTCATCAACAGAATTTAAAGACAGCAAATGCTCAATTTGAATGGCTCTGCATTTTACTTTTTTGCCCTTAATGGTGCAGAAATGACATGGTTCACCTTTAAGGCGAGACACTACAGGAAAAGCTTTTTTTTCATACACTGGTCAATTTTAAGATGTTGGCCTGTTAACATTAATCTTCTTTCAGACTAGTGGAAAAGTAGTCTTTATTTTATTGCACTTCATCTATATGCATCTGCAGATTTCAATGCATGGATTTTGAGCCTGGCTTTATTCCAGTGTTATTTTAGTATCATTGATATACTATTACAGTTTTTGTTCATATTTTGAAATTAGATTTTATGTTTAGATTTTCTGTTTTCACTTTAGTTTTAGTTAAAGTTTCAGTAATTTTGTTGTGCTTTTGTCATTTTTATTTGTATTTTTTTAAATATTCAGTTATGTCTGTTTAATTTGTATTGATTAGTTTTAGTTTTAGTTGTTTTAGTACTTCAATTAAAACTAAATGAAAATGTGAAAGCTGAATTAAAATACGTTTTTCTACATTTAATTTTATTTCAAATAACAAAAATGCTTTTTATGGTTTTAGTTAACTATAATAATTCTGCTTTAGATGTATGCAAATTGTGTATTTAATTAGATAATGCCTTGTTTGCATATTTAAATGTAACATTTCAGAAAACTTTTATCTTAATGTAGCGTGATTAATCAACTGGGTAAGTGTGGTGATATCTATTACACTCTAAAAAAAATTGCTGGGTTGTTTCAACCCAACTTTGGGTCAAATATGGACTAACCCAGCTGTTGGTTTAAATTTTTTTATTAAATTCTTAACCCAAAAGTAGGGTTAGTCCATATTTTACCCAAAGTTGGGTTGAAAAAACCCAGCATTTTTTAGAGTATATTTAAGTTTGAACTCTATTCTCTTCTCTTAAGAACACTCTGAATGACCTTTCCCACACGTCATCAGTGATCGTTCCTCACGGAGCAGTTAATGAACCCACAGTCATTAGCTAAGTAAAGGAAAGCTCATGAAAGCAGAAGATGGATGGACTATGAACTCACCCAAACCCCGAGAGCATCCTGCAGAAGAGGAAGGTGCTGTAGCCCTGAACGAAGGACGACAGGAAGGCGAAGAAGCCGTTGACTGACATACACACCAGCAGACACTGCCGTCGACCCACCTTATCTGACAGACCACCCCAGAAGAACGCGCCCACCATCATTCCCAGATACACCACACTGCCTGCAGACACATGCCGAGGAAGACTGTGAGCTCACCATCAGAGGGAAACAAGAAACCACATTATACTTCACACACACACACACACTTACTCACACACACACACACACACACACACACACACACACGTGAAATGCTGACAACACGGGTGTGAAACAGCATATACAGAGAAAGTGTGTGTTTCAGGGTTACTGTAGTTAACTAAAGCTAAAATTAAAACCCTAAATAAAGCATTTCTATTACTTGATTTGAAATAAACATTAACTGAAATAAAATACAATATGAAAAACTTTTTATTTCAGCTAGTTGCCAAGGCAACATTTCTTTTTTTTAATTTAGCTTTAATTAATTTTTATTTCAGTTTTAGTAATTTTAGTACTTTAAATTAAACTTACCTATTTCAGTTAGTTTCCAAAAACATTCCTGATTTAAGTTTTTCCATCTTCTATTTGTATTTTATTTGATTTCAGCCTAGTTTCAATTAGAAAATGTTGATTTTTAATAGTTTTAGTTAACAATAACAACACTGGCTTTGTCTCAGATGTTTCTCATGCAGTTCCTTTGGAGAAATAAAAACAGACAAAAGTGAGACACAGTACAGTAAGAGTACAGTAAAAGCTCTCACATGAATGTTGAGATCTCATGAGAGATTTTCTCATCTCTCACAGCAAGTGTCCATCTGATGTGCATTTAATCTCATTGCTGATTAGGAGAAACAATTGTGGTTTCAAGAGATCTCATTTTCTGTGTAGTCATATGGTGACTGTAATTTATTGATCAGTATTGATTGTAATGGAAAGCAGAGCTGGACTCAGTGCAGCTGGTCAATAACAGCCTGTGACATAAATAACACACTGCTGTTATTAGTTGCATTGATCTGTTTCCATCATCCCAAACCACAGTCCACCGATAGTTCACCTAAAAATGTCAACACATTTTTTTGAAGAACATTATAATCTATATAATATTTGAGATTTAATACTGGGGTCAAAATACACAAAAAAAAATTTAGAAATTAATTTTGCAACAATTTTCACTCAGAAACTGCTAGTATGTTTAATAAATACTTACAAAAAACAGCAACACATTGAAATAAATATGAGATTTTAAGCAGAAAGACTGAAATAGTATAATAATACAACAATATTGGTTTTATTTACACTATAAAAATTTTTTTTTGTGAAGTTGTAAATAAAAGAGAGATTATTTTTTGCAGTGTATCTTGTGTAAAGAAAGTCATACTGGTTTTGAACAACATGAGAGTGAGAAAGTGATGACTGAACTTTCATTTTCAGGTAAACTGTCCCTTTAAGAGAAAAGATAAAGATTATTAGCTAAAAAATGAAAACTCATTTGCTCATCATCAGTTATTATCTACAATCACGCTTATTTCGTTTAAATCCTGATGACCTACACAGGACTTTTAGTTACTCAAGATGAACAATGCTACTGATTTATCTGCACTAGTTCAGTCCAGAAAACACACACGCACACACTCAAATATGCACGCAATAAATCCAGTCCTGTCCGCTCACTCAAGATATGGCAATGAAAACCCTGATTTATGTGGCAGTATGTAAGTGAAGCCCATCTGCTGTGCAGAAGCTCAACCAGTGGAAACCCCGAGCCTCATCTCTTTCTATCTCTCAGTGCGTTCTGTGTTCTTCATGAGCTGTTCTCTCTCTGTGTGTGTGTTATCTTCCTGTGCAGACGTGCTGGGACGCCCCGCTCATCTATTACTCTCTGACAGCACTGAATACTGCGGCTCGCTAACGCCAGCACAGACCTATACACCACCATCAGCAAAAGAGCTGCTTTCAGAGACACACATCCACAGTATAACAGTCAAGTGTTTCGCACACACACACACTCGCTCGCTCGCACACACACACACACACACACACACTCACACACACTCACTCACACTCAGACACACACGCACGCTCGCTCACTCACACACACACACACACACACACACACACACAGACACACACACATACATTAATTATTTTTAAAATTACAAATATAGTTTATAATCAAGAGAAATAAATAATATATATTATTAAAAAAATACAAATATATAAATTAATATTATATACACACACACACACACATATTATATATATATATATATATATATATATATATATATTTTTTTT